GGAGAGGGGCGCCAGGGCGCTATTGATCGCATTTTTTGATCCCTTTTCTGTGCACTTCCTCCTCCCTCCCTCTCGTCATCGCTGCCGCTTCCTCCTCCCCACCGTCTCTGTCGCCCTTCTCTCTTTTTACTTCCTTCTCGCTGCAGTTGGTCCTGGCTTTGGCTTAACGCGTGCACTTTTTCGCGTTTTTAACATTTTCGTTTAATCCCCTTATATGCACGAACATATTTTTTAATTAAGGAATACTACGGTTATTAATTATTTAAATGAATGTAATATAGAATATATACCGTATTTTTGGGGTTTTCTTGGAACTTTTTTTAAAACACAAAAAAGCTCCATTATTACCATGATTTTGTTTAAAAACCTACTGAAGTTTGAAACCTATTTGAAGTGGTAGCATACATTATAATTTTTGTAGGTTAATGAATCGGCCAAATATATTAAAAATAGTACAGTTTTTTAAATTAAAAATATGTATAGTTTATATTTTTTACTGCTCAGCGGGTTTATATTAGAAATTCCCAATCAAACATACTTACAATAATTACATCTGATGCTTATACAAACTATCACGGCTTTGTAAAAATGTATGTAAAGTATTTTTTAAATAAAATGCAATAGACAGAGTGGTCCGAACTGTATTCCTGAAACTTCGGCAGCATATTCTGTAGATAAAAATAAGTAAAATGTTCGTATAAATGTATGTCCTAAAATGCTTAGTTTCGAAGATACAGGGTGTAGAAGTTTCATTTTTATTTCGATTTTTTTTTCAAATAATTTCTCAAGTAACGACAATATTTGGATGAAAATTGTTGTCTGGTAGTTTCTTGACATGAAAAATTCGATTTTGACGTCAATATGACCCCTACTTGTAGAGGGCACCACCTTGATATTTTTTAACTGGTTTGAAAATCAATAACTTTTCTTATAAGTACCTGGATAAAACTATTGAGTAAAAAAATATACATTTACGACGTTTTCTACGTAAAAAAGGTCCCTTGGTAAAAATCGCTATGGGTAATTATCAATACCTGTCATCTGTCATACAAGTTGACTAAATAGTTATTAGATTGAAATCATAAATTTGAAATGTTTTTTGTGTCAAAAGTCCTAAAAAAAGAGATATTTTTTACGTAAAAAATAACGAAAATGTATATTTTTTCACTCAGTAGTTTTATACAAGTACGGACGAAAAGTTATTACTCTTCAAAACAGTCAAAACACATGTAGGTATTTGTAGAGGGCGCCCTCTACAAATAGGAGTCATATTGACATCAAAATCAAATTTCTCATGTCAAAAAACTCTCAGAGACTAATTTTCATCCAAATAATGACGTTACTTCAAAAATTATTTGGAAAAAATCGAAATAAAAGTGAAACTTCTACACCCTGTATCTCCCAACTATAAGCATTTAGGGAGAGATACAATTATACGCACTTTTTACTAATTTTATCTGCAGAATATGCTGCCGAAGAGTCCGGAATACAGTTCGGACCACCCTGTATACCAGCAGTGATATTTTTAATATATGTTTTATTCTATATTTTTTTTGCAGATATACTAGGTGATTCAAATATTATACTTATGCAAATGGGTTTATATAAAAATTCCCATTTCAATCATACCATAATGTCACATTTGATATTTACACACATCGTTATAACATGATTTTCTCTTTTTAGACTAAATTTTCATTCATCCAATTATCTCTTAAAATTGGAAAATCGCAAATTACTATTGGGGCCAAATTTTATGGATTTTAACAAGAAATCAATATACATAAAGTCGGATTAGTTACACCATTTATAACTGAAGAACGGCTGGACCGATTTTTTGTTCTAAATACTTATTTTCATACAAATTTGAGAGGCTATTGCTGGACAGGTGAAAATGACGATGCTGCCAAAGGATTACCCGGGTTAGGTTGCACTGACCACCGACATGAAAACTGCTCTATAAGAGGCGATACTAGATGAAGTAATAGCGAGCGGATTGCAACGCAACGATCCACAAAATGTGGGTCAGCTGCGCTTTGTTGGGATACACTTTAGGGTGGGCATGCTTCTGATATATTGTGCATTAAGAAGAATTGACTGGGGCCGGGACTGGTTGCAATGAAGAGATAAAATATCCCTAGAGAAGCGACCAGCACGATCTTTCTGCTAAGGGGCAAAGGGAAAAACACCATTTACCCGCTGAGCCTTATCCAGGCTCAGAACTCCAATGTAAGGACATCGAGTTGGCGAGTCATCAACACGAGGGAGGAGGGCCATGGTCAGGTCCTACCAATAGGAATTGACTTCAAAACCAAAGAGGCAATAGAGAAAGAAGGATATTTCTTTGATATAGATTCGAAACAACACCGGTATCAGATCTGAGTGGAGACCAAGTTAAAGAGATGGAGGTATTAGAGACAGAAAACAGAGAGGCAAAAATAAAAAAAAAATAATATTTTGAATGTTATTAACGGAGGAAATTATTATAATAAATTATATACAGTAGTTATAGCTTTTTGATTTATTAAATCATAATGCTAACTGATGTATGTAATAGTATTTAAAAAATATTAATAATCAAAATAAATTTCACTTGATGTTTAATTTCCAGTGCGCCATTTAACAAATTTAGGGTTCTATAATTTTATACAAACATTTTATCCCTGAATTTATTATTTATAAAATAAAAAAAGACGTGTGATATAAATTATCAAAGTTCAATACCATCGAAAAAAGTTAATAACATCATAAAAATTAATTATATTCCTGGGTATCAGTGAATTTTAAATAAGACCTCTTTCAGACGAGGACGCTGTATCCCAGACGCGCGTATCTCAGATACATAAAGAGCATGTAGCTAAATTGTACCTTACACATGGCATTCGGCGACGCATACAGTATCGCGCGGCCGAATTTTTGAATGTGGAATTTTTAGCCGCCCGGCGACGAAGGAGTATCCGGGATACAGAATTATCATAGTAGCTTATGGCCCTGTTCAGACTAGCATACTTTTGCGATATAAAAAGTTCGATTTCAGAGGCGAACAGAATATTTTTTATAGATTTATTATAGTAAAATAATAATTCAGTAGTGAGAGTGAGTTCGAACAATAAATAAGAGAACCATGGATCGTGCCGCTTTCGACAATGAAAAATTTATAAGCTTTGTAGTATTATACCGTATGATCGATAAAAAACGGCGTCAGCGCTGGCTATGGAATGAAGATCGCTGTCATTTTATATGTAAATTTATATGGGAAATGTCATCTATGTTTATTTCCCAGCCAACTGGACGCCGTTTTTTTTTCGATCATACGGTATATATGCCACAGTAGAACGCACTCTTCAATATTCATTTTATAATACAATAATACAACTGCACCGCACTGAAATTTGTTTTAAACTAGAATATTATTTCGTACCTAAAAAAAGTATGCCAAAAGAGTATCTCTATAGTATTCGACTTAATTCTGTATCCCGTATACAGAATCTCGCATACAGTATCCTAGTCTGAAAGAGCTCTTAAGATTATCATTTATATTTTTTCATACTTAGTAGATATTTTGGTTTTAAGGTAATATGGTATTTTATTTTTTGTATTTTCTATATTATGTTTTTTAGTGTATTTTTCCGCTCGGCATACCAAAAATTGTCAAATGTCATAAAATAGTCTAACAGCGTTTTTAGATGGAGCGGAGCGTCCGCGACGGACCGTACGCGACTTGGAGCATGTACCATGAGTTTATATGAACGATTCCACATGGGTCGCGTCTCGATGCGTAATTCGATGCTCCATTTCGGATGAAAAAACATCCGCGCGGACGCTCCGCGCCTACGGTCCGCTCCATCTGAGAGCGCTGTAACGGCTCTCTTGAAAAAACAAGACGCACAAAACCGCGCGGACGCTCCGCTCCATCTGAAAGCGCTGTTATTATTCTTGGAGCCGCGGGCCCACTATTTAATTGCATTATGTGCGCAGTCATAAGAATACCTATACTGTTTTCAATTCTGCAAGTAAATATATACCTAGGCCGACTAAAAATTCCATTGCCTAGCTTTATAGAACATCAAAGGAAACAATATTTACGATTTTACTTTTAATAAAAAAAGAGCTATTGAGTCATAACCATAAAGTCAAATATTACATAAATGTAACCAATACAGTAAACTCCTAAACCATCATATATTTAAAAAAAGTTAAATGAAGTAAAATATGCATATCGTATAATAATAAATTATGATAAACTAAACATGAATGCGCATACAATACATTCATTACAATTTTTGAATATTTTAAAATGTTTAAAAAGTTTTAAAAGACAGTAAAACATACAATATATATTAAATTTATATTTATAAACACCTAAAATTCCTAAGATTAAAAAAAGAGAGAAAGATAACAAAATCTATCTCAAAAAGCGATCGCACACTGCAGCTGCATCATTTGTGAACCCCCTCGTAACACGCGAAAGGCCACGAAGTACCAGAGCGACAGAGAAAGAGCGCGCCATTTTAAAAAGAGACCGATTCAAGTTTAAACTAGGAAAATTCAGCGGTGGAGGACGAGCGTCCGCGAGAAAGACGAAATATTCCGGCCGTCCGAATAAAAGAAACGAAATAGGCCCCCCGAATGCAAGAAAGAAAAAGACAACGCGGGTCATCAGACAAGGACTACGGCCGGCTCGGACGAAGACAGTCAATATTTCAGGCCGACCGAATTAATACGTTAGAAAAGAATAAAAACAGAACCGAAGAGAGCCCCGACCGACGCGACACCTCCTGAAGGCGAGCGAGAGAGCGAGAGAGAACGCGCCTAGTCTAAATAGTAATTTAAGAGACAGACGCGGCGAGCCAACAGGCCAAAAGAGCGACGAAGAACGCAGATAATAGGGATGCACAGCGCTCGACTAGGCGCGAGGGAAGGGAAAATGCAAGTGCATGCAAGTGCCGAGTGGCGTCGCACTTGTTGCGTCACAATATGACGTTACTACAGTAGTGATACAGACCACCATTCATACAACACATTGCTGCAAAATTTGAAACGATCGAGAAACGGCGCCAGTTGTTAAACATGTAACGCACGGATCGAACAAAGTAAGCCGGTTTTTCGCGTTTAGTCGTTCATTACGACGAAGTAATAACCGTTCTGTTGTGTTTTTTGTTTCAGATTTTTTGGAGGATATGGCGAAAAAAGTGCGAGCCTCGCAGCCACCCCGCAGCTGAGAAAAATAGAGAAAAAAACAGCCCTCACGACGGACGTCTTATTCTCGATCTATTTCCGTTTAATATTTCGTTAATTTTTGGGCCGCGTTGAACTTTTTATTCGATTTAGTTTATTCTTTGGAACTTTTAACGTCGATTAGTGCGAGCGAGGATAGACGCTGTCGGGCCGGTGTTCGGACCTTGGTGCGGGCGACGGTATTTTTTCAAATAAAAGTTTGGTGTAATGATTATTGCGAAGCAATGGGTAGGAAATTCGTTTTAATTATTAGTGCTGCGAACTTGTCGCCCGTGAAAAATGGCCGAGTGTTCGTACGCGAGATGTGCACAACAGCGTCGGAATATTAGAAGAGAACTTCAACGATGGACAAAAAATATGGTTCATATTGTCGGTGAGTAAAAAAAACTCTTTCTCTACCAACCCCGGCCCGCGTCTCTACTTTTCTTTTCTTTTTCCTAATTTTGGGTTGCGATCGATAGCGCAACAACGTTGTCGCCGAGAAAATATCCGAGTTGGATCCCGGCACAATAATATAACCTGTTGACTGCCGAGCTTTGCCATCGCATTATTTGTTTTCCGTTTGACCGAAATGCCACCCCCCGGCGCCCGGCCACCCCGCCCTTGGTTTTAATTGCGAGGGCTTCTTTTCGCGGCGTTTAATGATTTTTAAGATGCAGTTTTTGTATGCGTCGTGCCGCATTTTTCTATAACGGCGCCGAATTATTTTTCTTTTATTTTAGGACGAAAATTCGCCATTTCCGATAACTTCGCCCCGTCTTTTACAGTTCGGTCTCTCTTTTTCGACGATGAACAGTTTTTTTTTAAAGAAAATGCAGTTATTTTGTAGGGAACTATTGAAAAATTATTAAGAAAATATTTATTACTTCTTTAGACCTTTAATAATACTAAAAAAGTTAAAAATTAAATAAATAAATCCAAAATTTCTTATTCAAGGTTTAAAATTTAAAAATACGTAATTTTTGATTTTGGTGTTTTTTCATAATTATTATTATTTTATAACTAAATAAGCAATGAACAAATAACTAATAAAATTTTCGTCAGTGTGAATGAAGTTAACTACATAAATCAATGCCAAAATACTACATTTTTTTCCAAAAAGTCAAAATTCGCATTTTTCTTAACATTCATGATTGATAACATTTTTTGGCGAATGTCATTTTCAAATTTCATTTTTTTCGACGATGAACAGTTGTTTTAAGAGAAAATGGGCAGTTATTTTGTACAAAACTATAGAAAAATTAATAAAGAAATATTTATTACTTCTTTAGGCCTTTAGTTAGGGGAAAAAAGTTCAAAATTAAATAAATATCCCGTATTCTTAACAGGAAATTTCTTATTCAAGGTTAAAAATTATGTTATTTTTGATTTTAGTGTTTTTCTATAATTATTTTATGACTGAATAAATAAGGAACAAATAACTAATAAAATTTTCATCAGTGTGAATGAAGTTTTATATTAGTCAAAGTTTCCATATTTATAGTTTGTCTGATTAACCTACATAAATAAATGCCAAAATACTTTTTTGCATTATTGCAACAATTATTGAACAATATTTTTCAAAAACAATTAAAATTAATGCCAAAATTCCCATTTTTCTTAACATACATGATCTGGTAACATTCTTTGGACAGTCATTTTCAGATTAAATATTTTTACGTCTTTTTGTCTTGCTATTTCGACGATGGACAGTTTTTTTAAAGAAAATGCTGTTATTTTGTACGGAACTATAAAAAAGTTAATGAAAAAATATTGATTACTTATTTAGACCTTTAATTAGACTAAAAAATAGTTAAAAATTAAATAAATATTCCGTACCTACTTAACAGGAAATTTCTTATTCAAGGTTTAAAATTAAAAATTATGTTATTTTTGATTTTAGTGTTTTTTTATAATTATTTTATGACTGAATAAACAATGAACAAATAACTAATAAAATTTTCATCAGTGTGAATGAAGTTTTATATTTGTCAAATTTACCAGATTTCTGGTTGTGTATGATTAACCTACATAAATCAATGCCAAAATACTGCATTTTTTTGCAATATTGCAACAATTGAACAATATTTTTCAAGAACAGTTAATATTAAAGTAAAAATTCGAATTTTTCTTTGACATTCAGGATTAGTAATATAATATTTTTTTGGATAATGACATTTTTAAATTTATATTAGATATCTCGTTATATACAGCATGTCCCCGGATTGTCTTTACAAGAAGAAAAACTTTTTATTATTGACATTTCGAGAAAAATGTATTCTTTATAAAAAAATTTGCTTAGTCTAAAATGCGCAGTTTATAGTTTTCCAAATTTTCATACCGTTTTAGAGAAAATTAAAAAAAAACATGAAAATATTGTTGTCCGAAAGTCCGAAAAATCAAAAGGCCTTATTGTAATATAATTTCGATTTGATTCTTTGATAGATGGTTATTAGTTATTATTAATTTTGAATAACGCCATATTTTTTGTTGTTGATAATGTATCACATTTTCCGATAACTATTATCACCCTTTCTGTAGCATTGAATAAGTTTTGTGATTTCTTAGCCTTTTAAAATATCAAAAATATGACGTTACTTAGAATTGTATTAATAATAATCTATCAAAGAATGAAAACGAAATTATATTACCATAGAAACGCGTTTTGTTTAGTTTTTAGTACTTGAAAGAAAAATGCAACCATATTTTCAGGTTTTTCTTAATTTTCTCTAAAACGGGATGGAAATTTGAAAAAGTATAAACGGGATTAACTATTTTAAAATAAGCCAAAACTATAGATAACTATTTTATAAGGAATTATTTTTTCTCAAAATGTCAATAATAAAAAAGGTTTTCCTCTTTTAAATACAATCCGGGGACATACTGTAGATGAGTGTCGTCTCAAATAATTAGTTTCTTTATTAAATTTTCAATAAATTAAATAAAAAAAATGTAGGTATCGGAACTGTATTTAATTATTATAATTATTGAATGATTTATATCATATAGGTACTTTTATATGGCGAAAGATCGTGGGATCCTTCAAAACGAAATGATTGGTGTCTAAAAAATTTCTCTTTCACACTTTGTCTAGAAATAGAGAACAAAAATAAAAATTTTAATAGAAATAATACATTTTAATTTTAATTTTTATGCTTTTGTGTACTAGTAAATGTTCATTTAAATATATAATTAAATAAACTAATAAAGCCAATTATACAGATTATACAGCTGAAACTTTTGATTTTGTTTAGGTTTTGTTCTAGTTGTTTTAGATTTAATTGATTGTTTATTAATTTTGTCTTCAACTTTTCATTTTTACATAATTATTTATAAATTTCGAATAGTTTTTTTAAGTTAACGCAAAAAGGCATAAAATAATGTTTTAAAATCCGATGGGCATATAAAATTTTACATTTAAGAAAAAAGGTTGCACTTTTTAAACACTAAAGGTGGCAACCCTGACTACATATGTTATATCTTCATAATCTTAGAACTGTATAGACCAGTGATGGTGAACCTACAACGTATCTTTGAAAATAAAAAAAATATAATTAATTCTTACTTAAGTCTTCCTAGAGTTATCCTCTATATACTAAAAATGGGATAGCTACCGACCATACAAGATTAATGAAGACATTCCTAACAAATAAAAAGGCTAACTTACAAAAAAAGTAAAAAATTGATGATTATTATATTATTATTAACATAACCATATATTCAAGTTTCACAATTCACAACATACAACTTTATAATAATATACTAGTTTGTTGGTAAACATCAGTATTTATTTAAATTTTTTAATGTCGAAATTCATTATTTATTTTAATTTTTTAATGTCGAAATAAATAAATCAAGTCTGATTTAATTTATATATACATAAGTAGTTATTTTCGTTGTTGTTTCAAAACTTTATTTAAAAAAACATTTTATTTTATTGGAAAATTGTTAAATTAAGTGTCATTTTTGAATTACATTATTTTTTCAACAAATATTTTCATTTATTTTCAAAATATTGATATTTTTTAGTTGTTATTTGATGTACAATGAGCAATAATGTAAAACAAAAGAAATATGAAAGTTTATAGCAAAAACAGATGATTAACAGATAACGTTAACAGATAAAGTTAAAATAAGTCTATTCTAAGTATAAATGACTTATTTTAATTCGTCAATTACGTTGGGTAAGTAAATAGGTATACGTACTTTGTTTTAAAAATAGGTATCTAATGTGTTCCATTTGTTTAATACTCCAAAATATTAAAACCTATAGGTATTATTAATGCCTCAAGTGAAATTTTTATACTTGACTTAGATACTATTAAATATGTCATAAAAAATATCTAAAATGTAACGATACAAGCTTGGTTTTAATAATTATTAGTAACACTAACAGAACTAAGGATACTAAAAAAAACATAGCTGTGATTAAGTGTAAAAAAACTTGTATAAAATACTCTAATACTCTGTATTGCCTCATCCGGGTCAAAGTTTACAGAATAAAATATAAGTTCCGTCACTTGTGCCGGCGGCAGGTATCAAAAGCCGCTTCACGCACGTGTTTCCCAGTGTATTACTGGTGTGTAGACTTTGGACCCAGCATACACGGCGGATCACGTTCGGCGTATTACTCTGATTTTGGCGTTATTACAGAGTGGTCTCGCATGCATATGGAATTATTTTTCAAGTGATTATTTAATTTTCATTGCAAAATGTTACTGATCACATTAGCCTTAGTTAATTATTTATTAGTTTATTATAAAAAAAGCATAATTATTTTTATTATTTCTTAAAAATAATATTGAGTTTTTCGCCACTGGAAAAAAAAAATATTTAAAATATCTAATTAGAATTATTCAAGATCACTTTATTTTTTACACGAAAAATCATATACTGGGTGTGTCTCAAAAGTGGCTTATCCCTATAACTTTTTTATTTTTTCAGATAAAAAAACGAGATTTGGTGTGTTAGTATATGACCTAAATTAGGATTGATTAACGTTTTCAATTTTTTTCGGTCACTTCTGGTTTCACCGAAAATGACTACAACTTTTGATATTTAAACGGCAACCTCGACATTTTTCTACTTTATTCGATAAAAAATGACACTCTGAATAGAACGACATATTATATGTCAACTTTTGGCATTTTAGCTTAAAAAAATCTTTTAAAATTTCAATATTGAGTGTCATAGCTCTTTTAAAAACAAAACTTTAATCAAGGAGCCCTGGGAAAAATAGATTTGATCGTCTAATGTTTTCCATGTCTTGTCTTTGCCGGTTAAAAGATGCCCAAATGGTATTTTTAACCATATCTTAATTTTTTTCAAATGGAAAGAGGGTGGCTCATTAGTATATTTGGAAAAAGTATTTTTTACGAATAATTTCATGCCACAC